TGCAAATGACCTCCCACTGCACTGTGCTACACTACTGCACCATACCGACATTCACTGCACTGCCTTCGCCCCGCCCTGCCCTGCCCTGCTCTGCAGTGCAGTGAAGTGAAGAGTGCTGTCCATTTTACTGTACTACATTACGTCGTGGTTCACTTACATATCCTTACTTATTTCACTAACCTGACTGGCCACCTTTTGCTGTGGGATTCGACGTTTCATGAGCTGGTTCAACTGAAGTAAGAGTACTTGGTTTTTCTAGATTTGCATTACAAAATAAAAACTATTAAGCTTAGGTCTGTAATATAGGTAAAGTTCGCACATTAGGCCCATTTAGGCCAGAGCTTACCCCAGTTTCCGTAGCAGGAAGTGACTAGGAGTATTTCTACTCCCTCCTGGATAGAATGCTAGTCCATCGCAGGGTTACCCCCAGCATAAAATTCGCCGGTACCCATTTATACACCTGGATGGAGAGAAGCACTGTGGGAGTGAAGTGTCTTGCCCAAGAACACGATACAGTGTCCTCAGCCAGGGCTCGAACCCGGACCGTTCAATCTGGAGGCGAGCGCACTAGCCATGAGGCCACCACGCCTCCAGGTCTGTAATGTATTTGTCAATTAATACCCGCCCAAAAGAGAAATGATGACTGGCACATTGACTTACAAAATAGATTACCTTGTACAGTTAAATATAATTCAGCGTATTCTGGATCGTGTATAATTTTAGCGAAAAATGCTTGAAGCGTGTACAGACCAGAATCCAGAAGTGTTACGTTACTCAGACGGAAGGACACATAAGTTTTGTTTACATAACGCAGAGAGTAACGTTGCTGGCATTGGGCCAGTAGAGAATCATTGACACAGGCGCCATGTTTTCCATCTTGTACCTTTCCAAGCGTGATGACGGAGACATGTCCTTTATAAATTCTATATTTGAAAAAATCGTCCGTTTTGTCGTAGGCGGATCTTTTAAATAAAAGATCAACGGTTTCTGATGTATACGCTGTTTCTGAAAAAGAAACAAATATTTCCTTCAACATTTTTAAATTTAATAACTCATATCTCGACAAGCTTTAAGGCAGAGTTGCGTGACAGTTTCAAAGCAAAGAAAATGGTATTTTATTCGTGTGCGGTCAATATTTTTTACCTTCACCATAAACAACGATATGTTGTGCGCTATATTAATTTATAGGCGTAATTTGTAAGGGTATTGAAAAGGCCCCGTCTACACTGATACACCTGAGAAATTTGAAAAACGCAGCTTTATTTCTACGGTTAGGCCAACCGTCCACACGAAAACGGAACTTTTCGAAAACGTCCCTCAAACCGGAGGAATTTGAAAACGCCGGCCTTGAGTTCTACTGTGGACCAAAAACATTTTGAAAATTGAGGTTTTCGAAAATGATGACGTCACGATAATCATGGAGTTTTCCTCAAACACAAATCCAAAATGTCCGATGTTTGCTGCGTTTTCAAACTTCTCCGGCGTAGTGTAGACGAGGCCAACAAGAGTGCATTATACTGGCAGGACTGGTACTCGCTGACGGTCTATGCCCGGGGGGACTCCCATATAAAAAGGACGATGGTGCCCGTCGTACCTTTTTGGGGTTTTAACGAAGCGGTTTTGGTACCTCCTAGGGCCGGTTCAGCCTCAAACGGACCAAAGCGGGAACTTTTAAGGTATTGAGCCGAAAAAATATGACCGGGACATAATGTTCTGTTTTAGAATTAATACCTCTTAGGGGTGAAAAAATTTCTAGTCACACCCAAAAAACAGGATCTTTGGCATGGTTCCTCTTTCAAAATTTCCGACCAGCACCCGCGTCCTTTTTGTATGGGAGTCCACCCAGGAGTGTCTATGTCTTCTCCAAGTTTCAAGAATGAAAATTTCCATGTTCTTATAATGATAAAATATAATACTAAAGAGAAAATAAAATAGAATATCGTCACATTATCTTACCATTTCGCACAGTCAAATTGCCAGTCTGCCTGTTGTATTGCGCGGCAGTCTCAACGCTCACAGTGTCTGTAAGCGACTTCTGATCTAAACCAATTAACTCAACATTGATTCCATAAGTTGCCTCATCTTGAACGGCAAAACTTTTTAACTTAAATGTTAATTTGTTGACTGAGTAGCTCCAATCTATTTTGCTCTCGTAACCACTGCGAACCTGAAACTTGCCACTCTTGTCCACTGCAACTATTTTCTTCAATAGGATTCTATCATTGATGGATTTCCAAATTCCAAAGCTTATTTCCAGCACAGCTTGGGCTTCCCATGGACCGTTTGAAATGCTTGCTGAGTCTTTGTACGAGAAACCCCAGCTTACGGGCACGTCTTTTCCTAATTCAGGAACCTTTACGAGGTCTGGGGGCCTGTCTTCTGTTAAGGATAAACTGGACTGGCATGACGCTACAAGTAAATAGATCAGTTATATAGAAAATATTACAAGGTGGCGACAAGATATGAATTTTATGTTCGATTGGCAAAAACGTTTTTGCCAATCGTCCCAAACATTATTGTTTTTACCTCGAAAACATAAAAATTCATATTTTTGAGCCAACGTGTAATGCTATTACACAGACAAAAACTACAGAAGTGAATCTAAAAGACAAACCGTATGTGAACTGCTCAGTGGAGTTTGTGGAATATTTCTGGTTTGGTTTACTTCGAAGAAACTCCTTGAATAGTTTTAAGCCCATGAAGTTTCTCTCTTCATTTTGGCATTTTCGTAGTTTTGTGCTCCTAAGTGAACGATTTTATGTCGACTTCAGTAAATTTAACTTCCCTATTATATCGCTCGCCATCTTTCAGCCGGCCTTTCGCAAAGGTTGGCCGCCGTGGCTGCCGTGCGATGTATTAGCGCGAAATGACGTCATCGATATCTTCACTGGAGGGGATATGGAAAATACGCCACTAAAGTCCCGGATGTAAATTCGTATGAATCAACACAGTGGAACCTTGATATAACAAAGTGCCAAGATGCTGGCAAAACTAGGTTTAATTTCGCGAATTCGTTGTATCGGGGTTCTTTTCTGATATATTTTACTATTACTGCATTCTGGGGCCAGGAATATCGTATAGAAGTTCGTTAAATCGAGGTTCCACTATATTATGTAGAAAAAGGTGCCGGGTTTGACGCTAAACATTTGTGATAAAACAAGAAGTCCATAACGAGAGAAAATATTTCTGATAAAACCCATGTGTGACCATTTAAAAGAAAACTTTTGAGCAATCCTTTCATATGATACTGTTTACAGTGGAACGTCGATATAACGAGGGGCCACGGGACTGGCAAAATATGTTCGCTGTGGGTTCTTTTCCATATGTTTCACTATTACCATGATTACTGGGACGAAATATATCGTTCGTTATACCGAGGACTTCGTCATTTAGAGCTTCGTTAAATCGAGGTTCCACTGTGAAATCTCTGTGGGTGGCTTAAGACGTTAACGTCGGTGATAATTTGAGCTATTATTACACACATATATACTAGGAGCGCGTCGCTCAGCACATTGCCGTCTAACCTGCGTTTTTTTTCTGCAAAAAAATGCTTACCTTGTAGAAACAGTGAGAATAGGCAAATAAGCTTGATCAACAACGGTTTCCAGGATAACAACATCGCCATCATAGCTTTTTGATATTCACGGGGTTCCGGTGAAAGTTTCCTAAATTATTTCATTTTTCCGAGAATAGCAGGAAGCCATTCGATCCCGGAATTCGACATTGTGTAAGCTTGTGTACGCCTCATCAAACAGCAAAACAATATTAATACTTTCTTTTCAGACTGACGCAACATTTACATAACGCATCGACCGTGTAATCTATCCGTGACCCTAAAGGTAATCCTTGACAAGCATATAAATTTTTTCAATGATCTAGCACTCGTGCCTCCTTGTTGCCTGGTAAGATGTTCCTCTGATTAGGCAGCGACGGGCCGGCCTCAGTTTAAGCCTTAAGGTCGGCACACACACGAGGGGACTAGTTCCGGCGACTAGTCCCGGCGACTAGTCCCTGCAACAAGTCGCGGAGACAAGTCCCATCGTGTGAACTGGCCATTTTTGCTTCAAAATCTACTCACGGGGACCAACTTTGGTCCCTGCGACTAATCCCACGGACTCAAACCAGTTTGAATTTTTGGGACAAGTTCCTGCGACTTGTTCCTCAAAACGCTTCGTGTGAACTGTACGCGGGACAAGTCCCTGCGATCAGTCCCTTCGAGTAAACTCTTCAGGGGACTAGTTGCAGGGACTGGTCCCCTCGTGTGTGCCGACCTTTATCTGAAACAATTAATTAACGGAATATTTTCCGCGATTTGCCTTTATAATGCCCACGACAACGCAACCCGGTAATCGCCTGTTTCAATACAAGCCCAGCGACACTGTTTCAACATATCGGCTAAGCACTCTATATATAAGCGTATAAATTCATGTTTGTGGTGCTTACTTACCTTGGAACAGTGCAAAAACGCAAATGGAAGTGCTCAAAACGAAAGCTTCCCGTCGATAAATCATGGCTTTTAATGAATCGAGCTTAAAATGTGCTTAGTAAGCGCGTCTTGAATGACTGACGTTTGACAATGATCAATTGTATTTTAAAATTTCTACGAAACGCAGGAAATACTCAGACAACTGTCAGCTTAACTGTCTGCATTTCTGGAACAGTGACACAAATCGTATTTTACCAATACTGATATGGGTTGTAATTTAAATAAGGGTAAGGCTTTTCCAGATTAAATTACAACAGGACTTCCTACTGGCTTCCCGCTAAAATGCTTCGCATTCATGTTTCGCACCAAAATGTTCTCTCTACCCTCAAAGAGCTAAATAACTAATTAGAAATGTGTCGATAAAATTGACAGAAATGGTAAATGTTTTTATTTCAGTGCACTCACTAACTTTATTCATTTTCAGATCTCAACGTGTAATAGACTCGGACTGAGCATAAACTTAAGCTTGAACTGATTGAACTCAATTTGCTACAAATTAAAACTCAACAAAATTAGCATAAAGAACACGAGTTAAGTTCGTAAGTAAGTAAAACCTTTATTTAAGTGTCTATTTGTTTAGCCTAGATAGACTAGTTGGGGACACTAGTAAAATAGCAACACTAATTGACATACGGTACTTATAAAATTTGACTATTTACTGGTAAATGATACAAACGTAATGAGTATGAGAGATCATATGTCACGTACGAGATAATTAAAATTGTAAAAGTTAAACAAGACTAAAACGTCTTGTGAGAGTTAACCTGTTCCAAACATTCGGCAAGTCGGTTAGAGGGTGAGAAACGGAGAGAGAGAGAAAAGGAGAGAGAATGAATTATATGCACTTCTTCGTTACTTTGTCTAGAATTAGCCATTTTAGAGCGTGTTTGTCGCACAGTTGCTGCAGTGATATTTCATCCAAGTCTATACTTATTACCCTTTAAATCCTTCATTGAACACTCTCGCTCCTGCAGTTGAAGATTCGTTAATGCAACGGCATTTTATTTACTTCTTGTTTGTGATATTGCCATATTAATGAAAGTGTTAGGGTTCGTTACAGCCAAGTGGGCTTAATAGGCCCAGAAAAAACGTCAAACTTCACTCACTACCGAAATAATCTACGACATTTCTTTAAAACTGAATTTGGTTAATGGCATTTGATTCTCTCGGTTTGCTCGTTGCTAGCTAAGCCCTGATTGCCGGTTTTTATTATTGAAATTAACGTTTTAACTGGCCCAAAGGTTATATGGTTGCAGGAACGGAGTGTTTGCTAGTTGTTTTGGCATCAATCTGAGGCTCGTAAGGTATTTCTCTTTTGTGGCGTCTTCGATAGCGAAGAACGAGCACTGGCAGTGTTAGAACAATAACACATCCGGAAATTGCCGCAATTGATATCAACGCAGGGCTGACAGATGCCTTTGATGGTGATAACGTGCTGGGAACTGGAAAATAAAAAATCAGTTGTCAATCACTAACGGTAAGCCAAGCAATCTCCAGGGTGATAACAAGCACAATTAAGCCCATAATTCGTAACTTGATTAAATTATCATAAGGTCCTGGGAAATTAACAGAATTCTAGCAGGTGACAGCAGTGCTGGACGACCTCACAGAGCAAATCGTATACTGTCGACCTTATCAGGGTTTTGGAAGCCAGGCAGCTAGGTATAAATGTAACTAGGTAGGTAATTGGATAGGCAATGAATTAAAAACCATTATGGGGGCAACACCAGCTGTATCAGTACCTTTGATCTGCGGCATGTGATACGACAAACGGGATGTCAACAGTGACGGATCTAGGCCCCCCTCCCCCTATTTTATGCATAAAAAGAAGAAATCACAGTGAGAAGGAAGAAAAGCCGGCAGGGCAAGTAAAACAAAACCGCCCCCNTACAAACGACCGGTAAATAACCCCCAAAACGACTTATCGGAGGGGTTTAAAGGTCTTCCGAACAGGTAATTAGGTGCCACTGAATTAAGTTACTTCCTATAATCCGCATGCGGTAAGTTTATCAGTGATTTCAACTGAGTATTTACCCTCTATACGGAGAATAACAGTATCCGTCAAGGGAGCTCGAGCTAACTCAAACTCAACATGAAGCCCGTAATGTTTTGAGTCCTCTTTGCTTAAGCTGCGAAGTGTGAATTCCACTTGCAGACGAGACATGTTAAAGTCGCAGCTGATTTTGTTTTCATAGTTCGGTCGCACCAGCACTTGGCCTCGTCTGTCGATAGCCATGAGTTTTTTCTTCAGGTATCCTGGAGAGCTCCAGAGCCCGAAGCTCAGTTCGTATATGCTCTCGTTCCATGTCTCTGTGGGTAGAAGCTCAAAAGCCCAGGCAAACGAAGCATTACCATTGCTTTTGCCAATCAATGGATTGCTTGGGCGGGATACCAATCTCGGACTTCTTCGCTGGCATGATACTGACAAATATTGGATGGTTAGTTAACAAAGTATGTACCACAATGTAAACTGTGTTTTAAGGGCGTGATCAACTGTTTAAAATACGATAGAATAGAGAATACATGTCAAAATTGCTAATATGAGATTAAAACTCCAGGAGAGATCGAAACCGTGGGGCAATATTGTGCTACTCTGGGACAGTTATATACGATAAAGAGTAGCCTAAGGAAAAAGATAACTGATAACTGTTGTAATCGCCTATATTTCAAAATAAATCCACTAGTTTCTTCGTTTTCCGCTGTTCCCGATTCCATATTCCAGGATTCATGAATTTTCGGCCAAGAGTTGTTATGATTACCTTCCTGGAAATCAGCCAATACTGACATCGTATCCCGGGACCTCGTCAACAACATTATTTGTTTTCGTCTTAGGTGATGCTTATAGCTTCTAATAATAGTCTTTCTCGGAAAAATAGGATGTTTTAACCAGGTGATCGACCATGTCAATTTCGCTGAAAGCATTATTCTGAGAATTGATCGCCGTTTTCGAAAACATTTCGCGGAACTCCAAGCGAAAGAAACGTTCTTTGCTTGAAGCTAAGGCAAAACAACTATATTTTTCCGCTGCGATTCAACTCTAGTCGCTTAATAAATCGTAACGTGTTTCATTTCTTTAGCAGGCCTTCTAGTAGAGGGCATAAATTAAGCCAGACTATAGATAAACAAAACGAACACAATACATGCTAATTTCTCGCCAGAATATTCGCGTTCCCAATCGTCGATGCGTTGGCCGGCTCGTGATTCATGTGAACCTCTTTCGCTTTCTTCAGTAGCTTGGTGATAATTCGAGAACTTCGAATATAGGAATCTCGCTTTG